AACCAACTCAGGAACTAACAAGACTAACTATTGGACTGAAAGTAGTGACAAGCTTCACGGATACAGTTCAATTTCAGAAAATACAATACAGAAAAATAGGCATGCTTTCAAGTTCGACAGTTAAAGCTAAAACAGAAAATTCATGCCAAGTTCAATTGAAACATGATATAGTATCTCTCAGAAATTTCATGACAGTGATATATGCCAGTTGAAGTACAACAGTAATGAAATCAAGTGCATATTCTCAGGGTGACAAACACTCTGTCCTCCCATTCACTCCAACCTCACAGTCACTCATTCCTCACAATCTCTTATTTTTCTCAGAAACTCGGCACTCGCGCTCGCGCTCGCAGTCAGTAGGTACTTGCGCTCACTAAGGGTGTATAGACTCTGGAGGGGCTCTTTTAGCCCAAGCGCTATAGCAAGTCAATCATGGCATAAATCAATAAAACATATTGCGGCGTGCAGATCGCTCCTATAAATATCCTCACAATCAGGCCCTCGACCTTACTTAGTCATCAATATCTGCAGTCTCTCGGGCTCTTAATAATCACGATAATCAGCCCAAACAGCGATAATATAATTTATCAATAAAGAACAATAGAGACTGGGATATAATATGCAGTAAAAATGTGATTGAGTACAAAACAACAATTTAGCAGATAATTCAACATGTAACACGACCTCTGTGGGTCCCTACAGTGCCAACACATAACCTAAACATGATTTCTAACATGATTTGCAGTTCAATTTTTATAACACATGGAGAATATACAAATAACAATAGATTATTCAACTGTACAGTTCCATGGAATTGACCAAGTCACAATTCCTATGGTACACGCCCACACGCCCATCACCTAGCATGTGCGCCACCTCAAAACCAATCATATAACACGTAATACGGGGTTTTATACCCTCAAAACCAAATTTAGAACTGTTACTTACCTCAATTCGTACAAATCCTACTCCAACACGCCCTTGCCTTGTGAATCGGCCTCCAAATGCCCCGAATCTAGCCACAAATAGTTCGATACAATCAACACAAGCTAAAGGAATCAATTCCATAAGAAAATATTAAGTTATTAATCAAAATTCAAAAGTCAACTCAAAAGTCGGTCCCGGGCCCACCCGTCTCGAAACCCAATAAAAGTCATAAAATTCGAAATCACATTCAACCACGAGTACAACCATACCAATTTACCAAACAATATCAAAAACACGAATCACACCCCAATTCAAGCCTAATGAAAACTAAGGAATTCCATCTTCTAAAACGATGTCGAAACCTATCAAATCACATCCGATTGACCTCAAATTTTGCATACAAGTCACAAATGACACCACGGGCCTAATCCAACTCCAGGAACCCCAATCCGAACCCGGTATCCACAAAGTCCACTCTCGGTCAAACTTTCAAATTTCCAACTTCTGCCATTTCAAGTCTAATTCCACTACGGACCTCCAAATCACAATCCGGACGCGCTCCTAAGTCCAAAATCACCCAACGGAGCTAACAGAACCATCAAAACTCCACTCTGGAGTCGTCAATATATAAGTCCACATCTGGTCAACCTTTTCAACTTAAGTTTTTATCCTTGAGATTAACCATCTCAATTCATTCTGAAACCTCTCCGGTTCATGAACCAACTACCTCGGCAAGTCAGATAACAATTGTAAAGCATAAAAATGAGTAGTAAATGGAGGAACATGGCTACAACTCTCTAAACGATCAGTCGGGTCGTTACAAAAATACAAACATCTTCTTGAAACTTCTAGGGCTCTTTTATACAAATCCAAACTTCCTTTAAAATACCGGGGAGACTGTGTGCTTATTGCTACTTATCTTATTAACATGTTTCCTTCTTCTGTTTTACAAAATGTTTCTCCTTTTGAAAAGTTTCACGGTTTCCCTCTATCATATGAACATTTGAGATCCTTTGGTTATCTTTGTTTTGCTACTCTTCCTAAATATGGTAGAGACAAGTTGCAACCTAGAGCTGCTTCTTGTGTTTTCTTGGGATATCCTTTAGGTAAAAAGCGTTACAAACTTCTTAATCTTTCCTCCCATTCCATTTTTTATTCGAGAGATGTTATTTTTCATCAGCAAATTTTCCCTTACCACTCCTCCTCTCCTACACCTCCCATTTTATCTCCTCCTGATACTTCCCCTTTTGTTGACATTCAGTCTATTTCTCCCCCTCAAACTTCCCCTACTCTTTCTATTCCTCTATCCATGTTTCTTCCTAGTCTTCCCCTTCACCTTCACCTCTTCCTGCTCCTTCTCATATTCAGTCTCCGGCCTTTCCTATTCAGGATACTCCTTCTTCCCTTCCACCTATTAGAAGTTCTAATAGACCCTCCAATCATCCTTATTATCTCAAAGATTACATTTGTTCTCATGTTGCTCCTAATTCTAAGGCTACTTCTGCTGACCTTCACTTAAAAGAGCCTCAATTTTATCACCAGACTGCCTCTAATCCTGCATGATAGGAGGCTATGTTGAAGGAGTTCCAAGATTTTGATGCAAATAAGACCTGAGACATTGTTCATCTTCCTCCAAAAAAGAAGGTTATTCCTTGTAAATGGGTATACAAGATAAATCAAAAATCAGATGGCACAATTGAAAGGTATAAGGCTAGATTAGTTGTTAGATGGGTGTAGATTATACTGAGACTTTTTCTCCGGTAGTCAAGATTACCACTATCAAATGTCTTCTTACTGTTGCTGCCAAGAGAAGGTGGACAGTCTACCAATTAGATGTCAATAATGCTTTCCTTCATGGGTATTTACATGAAGAAGTTTACATGTATGTACCTCTTGGTTTGACTGTCACTACTCCTTGTTCCTCTTTCCCCTCTTCTCCTTTAGTTTGCAAACTCAAAAAATTATTATATGGGTTGAAGCAAGCCTCTAGACAATGGTTGGCTAAGCTTTGTGAGTCCTTACTGTCTTAGGGCTATTTGTCCAGTAAAAATGATAATTCCTTGTTCACTAAGGGTTCTAGTGATTCTGTGGTGGTCATCGTTGTATATGTAGATGATATTTTATGGGCTGGTTCTGATATTACTGAAATGAACGCACTTAAGTCCTTTTTAGATGAACAGTTCAAAATTAAAGACCTTGGTGATGTTCATTATTTCTTGGGGCTTGAGGTACATCATACTTCTCAAGGTTATCTGTAGATATTTTAATGAAGCTATCTTCAATTGAGGCTGACTGCTTGCCTGATCCTTCTGTGTATCGAAGACTTGTAGGTAAATTGAATATTTTGCAGCACACTCAACCTGATATTGCTTTCTCTGTCCAGCATTTAAGTCAGTTTCTCCAGGATCCTAAGGTGCCACACATGCTTGGTGTCATTCATGTATTGAGGTACCTTCTTAATGATCCTTGATAGGGCATTCTTCTAAGTGCTTCTTTTGATTTTTCTCTTCTTTCCTATCTGATTCCGACTGGGCAGCTTGCCCCATTTTACGGAGGTATGTCTCTGGGTTTTACATTATTTTTGGTAGTTCCTCTTTTTCTTGGAAGTCTAAGAAGCAGCCTACAATTTCTCTATCTTCTGCTGAAGTAGAGTATCGGGCCTTGCGCAAGGTTGTTGCTGAAGTGTCTTGGTTGCTACGCATTCTTCATGATCTGGGCTGCTCCATTACGCCTCTTGTTTCTGTCTTTTGCGACAGCAAGTCATCTATTCACATTGCCCGAAACCTAGTTTTTCATGAGCGCACAAAGCACATTGAGGTTGATTGTCACTATGTGCGTGATCTGCTGCAGTCTGGTGTCATCTCTCTTCTCCATGTTCCCTCTTCTGATCAACTTGTTGATTTGATGACTAAAGCTCTTTCTGGTGTTCCTCATCGTCGTTTATTATCCAAGCTTGGAGTTCAGTCGACCTCCAGCTTGAGGGGGGCTGATAACAGAGTCATATTCCAGGCCCAAACTTCATAACTAGGCCCAATCGGGTCAGAAGCCCAAGTTATTCTTTTTCTGTATATTTCATTTCATTGTGTTAAGAAGATAAAAAGGGCCACACATGTACAATAGACTTTTTAGGGATCATTTCTATAATAATATAGAAGCTCTCTCTTTTCTGAAAATAGGGCTTTGTATTTTGCCTCAAATCACTTTCGATTTCTTCGCTCATCATCCTATACTCCTATAGTGCAAAACGTAGGAGAACGTGGTCACTTTGGAACCAATTTTGCCCTACTCTCTAGTCTCTAGAAATTGTCGTGAATCATGCATGGGAGCAATTTTGAGTAGACATTAAAAGAAACCAAAGGAGTGGATAGATAAGCAAACTATTTTAACTGTTAGGTTGCACTAATTAAGACATGGGATGCAATATGTTCAAACCATTATACAGTTTTTTTCTCGCACGTTGTCCGGTACACGTTTTGAGGTTTCGATTAATTCTGATACCTGCCGCATAAAGTCTACTAAAAGGGGAAGCACTCTCTGAAAAAATTCTTTCATTCTCAAAGCTCGAAAGTAAAACCTCTAGTTAAGGATAAAAGAACAGTAACATTCCACCACGATGGCTAGGTTTCACTAAAATTAATGCCAGCTAGTGCATTTACTTAAACTTAACACTGCGCATGACATTTTTGGTCTAGTCCAACGTAGAACAAAGGATTATAGGAAAATATAATTTTCCTTTTCCTCTTATTGGGAAACTTTTGCAGGGAGGAAAAGGTGAAACCGGGGCATTTTTAAATATCTGAAATTTTTACCACATTGTTCATTAATAAATTAGCATTAATTTTTAAATTATCTGGCTCAATTATTTGTTTTATGCACAAGAAATTTTCAAATGGAAAAAAGTAGCGGAATAAATATAAAAGAAAAACTTATAATAATAAGAAGAAAAAGGAAAACCTTAATTACTATGGCGGCTAAAAGAGAAAAAAAAAACAGCATCTCACATAAACATCCTTCATTTTTTGTGGCCCATGTACTTTAGTTACCATATGCATATGTAGCTTAATATATCATGGTCAAGACATAGATGAAGCAAAGAAATTATGGCCAAAGTGGCCTTCATCACCAATTAAACAAGCATAGAGCTCCTTATCAAGATGATGTTTGGATTGATCATGAAGCTGCAAACATGAACTCCCAACTTCATCACAAGAACTTGAAATTGATGAATAATTATTAGTTGTGGTGTTGAATGCCAACAACATTTCTTGAGCTTTGTTTAGTTCCTCCTTAAGCCTCTCAACTTCCAATTTTAACCTCTCATTATCCAACATAGCATTATCTAATCTTTGTTGCAAGGCCTTGTAATCAACCTCGAGGCTCTGGCTTTTCCATCGTGCTCGCTTGTTCTGATACCATATTGCAACTTGCCTGGGTGGCAATCCCAGTTCCTGAGCGAGCTGGGATTTTCTATTGGAGTCGAGCTTGTTGTTGGAGTTGAAGCTAATCTCCAAAAGCCTTACTTGATCTTGAGTGAGCCTTTTCTTGTGACACTTGAGATTGTTCTTCCGAGTTTGAGNGTACACTGACATTAAATCCTTTTAAACTTGTAAATGTAAATCTCTTTTTAGTAAGTTTTGATTTGGTTTATAGTATCTTACTATTGAAAATGTCTAACTTCGAAGTATTTAAGTAGAAAACTTGATTGAAGATTTATTATCTTAGGTGTCCACCTTGTAATTGCTAAATAAAATAATTATGATTTTCAAGAATGCAGATATCATTGTGTTTCTAGAATATTCTTATATAGAGAAATCTCAAGACACATAAGTGGTTATAAATTAACGAGAAACAAAGAAAAGCAACATTACATGGATCGAGACCACTGCCATAAACACTTAAAAGCCAAAGACTCAAAAACCAAAGACAAACATGGGAAGTATACGTTTGCTGACCAACTTCAATGATTTCAAAAAAATTAAAAATACAAAAGAGAAGCATGCAAATGCCAAACAACTTGGTTCTTATTTGACTTCCTCATATACATAGTAATATCCCTCCTAAAGTGAGAACTTAATTAATGAAAATCATGTAGTAGTAGTACTAGTAACTGTATACGACTAGACAATTGGAACGTCCTAGTTGCACAAGGTGCTAACACTAGAGATAATAGAGTAATCAACCACTAAAGCTCTAATATATAGTGAAGATTTTAAGTTAGTGGATAATATTTAGCTGTACATAATTAATACTAACTGTTACTCCTTTGAACTCTGATTAGAAGACTTTGATCCTCCTTTAAATCAGCTATAAGGACATGTTAACTACCCATTCAATCCGGGCCAGACCCACAAACCCTCTCTCTCCCCGCACCAAGCATTAAGGAAAAGGATAAGGAATGACAAAATACTTACATATTAATGACTATCAGAAACTTATAATTAGACCTTGAATATGGTTGGAATCTACTCTAACATTCTTCATATCTTTTATCACACAGTGAGTTCCAGTTATATAGACTAACATGTAAAGAATTTTTACGTTAACCGTAAAATTTAATTTCTATTTTCCTGCTAGTATTGTATAAGGTTTGATATGAAGAGTTTTAGTTGTTGGACTTAATTTGAAGTATCCGTGTACAGAACATACACTCCTCTAATTTGAAATTTTATAAAATTCTGCATAGGTTAGCAATATGTTTTTCTTTTTTTAATATGTCAAATGTACCTTAGAAGTTGCAAACAGAAAATGTTAGAAAACTACTCAAAATTGTAGAAGGCTACGTACGGCTGTTGATAAAAAAAATATACTATTTTGGGTAGGGCAAATTACTATTTCCAATGCTTAATTGATATCGCATTTGAAAGAAATTGTCGTTTGGAAGGAGGGCAATATTAGCCCCACTTCACAATGGTTGATAAATGCCAAATTTATACTTAATTTTCATCTGTACCAGTGGGGTACTATTCTTTGGCATTTTTCATGACATGTTATTTTAAAAAAGAATTTAACTTTTAAAAATTCACTATAAGTCATGTAGAGATCATAATAAGTGAAATTAGCGATCTATAAAGCTAAAAAGTAAAGCATGTGACATACTCCAACAAGTTAGGTTATACGAATAACCTAATTTTTTTAACATTATCAGTCATATTAAATTAAATCCTTTAAAAAATCCATTTTCTAGGAATTTTGAAGCTTTGCACGTATACAATCATGAGTACTTGGCTTTTTCGGGAAAGTGCATGAACATTGAAACGCTCTACATTCATTCCCCTTCTCACAACTTGACCTATTTGAATTCAAAGTATTAATTAGAACTAGCATAGTATGAAGGGACATAAAGAAGAGAGTAGACCATATTGACCAAGGGATAGAGGACCCATAAATTAATATTTGAAGACATCGTGTGAATTTGGAAACAATTGGAGTATAAGAAATAAAACAAAAAGAAAATTCATTCTGAAACTACCTCAATTATATTACGTAAGACACTATATTCAGTGTATTGAAGCCCGTGTAGTTACTTTGATCTATAGACGTATCATGTCACGCTATATCTTGTCATTTCAATTTTTTTTGCAAAAAGTATACTTTTGAAGGAATTTGGAATTGGAGCGCAGGAAAGAAAGTCTAATTGGCGTAACCGTAAAAGTTATTGTCAAACGATTAGCAAAAATTACGGGATAGTCATAAAATTAAACACAATATTTTTATAGAAATACAAGGTAAAATTAAGTATAATTAGATCAAATGTGATTCGAACTTTTTTAGAACCATGTCTGTAACATAATAATTAGATCAAATGTGATTCGAACTTTTTTAGAACCATGTCTGTAACATAATCTTAGTTTAATGGGATGCTATTTTTATTTGGAATTCAAGCACAAAAGCTTTATATTTCTCACATATATTTTAATTGTTGTAACAAAGCGATTTTCCAGCACTCTATTTTTCCAAAATGTAAAATTTAGATTCCTAAGTGATATATCAAATGATGAACTGCTATTGGACCACTCTCGTGTCCACCTATAATCCCACAATCTTCCAAATGCTATCTCCTCGGTACGGGTGTACATAGGTAGGGTTGTTTCAGATTTTTCAATTACCAAACCAAATTAATTGTCTCGGATTTTTAAATCTATAAACCAAATCAAACCAACAAAAGTCGGATTTTTCAATCTCGATTTTTTTCGAGTTTTTCAGTTTTCTCGGGTTTTTCGGGTTTTTCCCGACAAAATCTTCATAGCATAAAATTTATAATTTGTGCTCTAATATTTCTTAGGTCCTAGTAGGATAAAACTATAAAAGATGTTACCCAATAAAATAATACAAAATAATGTGAGATGAGTCATGATTATACTAAAATACTTAACAAATCGCATAAAATAAATATTGCTAATTAATAAACCATAATAAAAATAAACATAATCTAAAAGTATTAAATCATGTTAAAATATAAGCACGACTAATAAGAACTAAATATTAATTACATGTCTAAATAATATTAAAAGCAAGTTATGCATTTTCACTATCTAAAGTAATGAAAAACTAAGAAAATAAATATCCGATACTATTATCATTCCTAGTGTTGAATTGAATTTTTTTGTTAGCATTTTCATTGATTTGATTTTGCTTTGGACTTTATTTGAATCACTAACTTTTATGGGTTATAAAACATATTTGACCATTCAAAAGTTCTAAGTTCAAGCTTGAAATAATATATTAAAAGAGAGAACTACGAAAAAGTTTAAAAAATATTTATAAATTACATTACAATAATTACTTTTATGTATAAAATATTTTTAAAACTTGTATATATGTAATGTCGGGTTGGTTTGGTTTCGGTTTGACTTTTTTTAGTTAAAACCAAACCAAACCAATTATATTCGGGTTTTTTTTTCTAACACCAAACCAAATCAAATCAAACCATAGTCGGGATTTTTTTCTCAGTTTGACTCGGATTATCGGTTTGATGCAATTTATCGATTTTCTTTGTACACCCCTAGTCCTCGAAGGAACATTTGAATTTTAATCTTTGTAATTATGTAAGTTCCCTTTTTTTCTTATTCTACTGGTTTTCCTTAAATAATCAGCACACGGTATTAAACTATATTAAGTCTCTTTACTGTTCCACACAACAAAGGTCATTTTCTACAGACGAAGTTGTATGAATTTAACCTCAGATCTTCAACTATTTAAGTATCTTTTGGTATATCCTAGTTACCACCATCGATCAGTCCGTTTATCTGATTTTAAAGACACTAATCTACCTATCATGACGAAAACTCCAAATTAAAGAAAAAAATAATAATCCTGGTTTTAGATTCACTCAGAAGTTATTCATTTAATACTATTAAGTGAAAGCACTAATGAACACACAAGAACAGAAATGAGGCTGTCATTCTGAGTAGTCACTTTCTACATTTAGCTTGGCTTATTGATGTCAACATTCTAAAAGCAGGTAGCTCCAGCCACCGGCGGACGCAAGTAGTGGCAAGCTGGTTTAGTTGAATCCGCTTCATCAAAAAATAATATTATGTATATGTATAAATTAGGATTAAAACTGCGTAAATTTTGTATAAATATTTTATTTGAACCCACTTGACAACTACTATTTTACGACTAAAATTATGTACTTTTAAGATTGAACCCGTTTGCACAAAATTCTGGGTCCGCCACTGGCTCCAACTATTTTAATTGGATTTTAAGTTATATGCACATAGCTAGCTCGCATGTTAATTACCATTTTTACTAGATTAATTACTGCTTAAAGAATTTGATAGTTTAACTTTAGAAAACCTTTCAGCACCTCGACATGCATTTATTGAAGTAAAGAGTACAAATACGAAAAAATATATGTAATTTGAGGACTGCCCAAATTTAGAAAACAAATTCTGAGTTTTATTGCAGATAGAGCACAAGAGATCGCACTAAAGTATTAAGCAGATATGACATATTTTTAGTCGATCGGGTCAATAACACATGGTATGTTGCTACGTTATCAAATCTGATTGATTAGTCAATACTGGTCACTTCCATAACATTCGGGCCATATTAGGGTGACTGCACTCTAATATTATCATGATAAAAGAACAGGGGAGCTATTAAAGCAAATTATACCTATATCTTCTGTAAATTGTGACATATGATGCTGATTGTACTAGACGTTTCTTTAATTAATTTCTTATCTTGCCAGCTAAAAGTGCCTCACCCATGCTTTAAAGTTTGTTCATCTTTGAACCTCTACATTGTTAAATCAATTTCTTATTCTAGTTACAGAAGGTCTACCATGTTGTATTTTAAAAGCATTCGGTACTAATAAGGGATTACGCATTCACATATACTTCGTTTCTCTCTTTCCAGATACAAATTTTTCCTTGGAATTAAATGTTGGAATTTGGACTTATATATGGTTTAGATTTTGAAAAGTATACATAATGTCTTGATCCAACTTGTGAAAATTATATATATATNAACTATTGGTATGTAATGAGTAGATACTCTTTAGAAATAGGTCAAATCCCCTTCCTGAGCTATCATAAGAAGAACTCTAGCTTATTCTATTTCCTTGAGTACCTGGGAAAAGAGA